AAAAACATATATGTGGAGAAGGAACTCCTCCTCATCCTCCTCCTCCTCCTCCTCCCCCTCCTCCTCCCCCTCCTCTTCTCCCTCCTCTTCCTCCTCCTCTTCCTTATCCAAGCGGACCCATTCCCCCATCGAGGACGCCGGCAAGCCCGGAGAGGCCAAGGCAGGGGTCTCCATGGCCTGATTCCTTGTTCTCCTCCACCGCTTTGGCTTCACCTCTGCCATTCTGCCGGGAGTATCGACAACGGAGAATGTCCCGTCGAGCTGCGTGCGTGTGATCAAGTCGGAGCCAATAGTAGCAGCACCTACGGAGGTTCTGGCAACGGCAGTGCTATCCCCACCGGCTGCCACACTAGGGCTGCGAGAGGAAGAGGAAAGCGACGTGGCGTCTACCGTAGTGGTTGTGCGTGTCAGATCTACGGAAATGGTGCTTTGTCCTTCGTCAGCTACTCGGAGATCGCCTTCTCCACCATCCATGGGGACGTTAGGGCCTCCGACGGGACACGGTGCCGACCCTGCGAAAAGAGATGCCGGCATGCTCTCTTTTGCCACGTCAAAATGACCAGTGCACGTCAGCAAGCTTGTTGTGATGGTAGAAAACGACTGTTTTCTACCCGAAAAGATTTCTGTCACCGAGTGGTCTGTTAATTTTATAGAGGATATGGAGCACTTTGATTAGGAAGGTAACGACCGCAGTAAAAATAGCTTTTGACACAAATTAGAGCCCAACAGGAAAAGCGCGCAAGCCTTTGAATGAATGTTGGCTATAACAACCGCCAATTATACTGAAATGCACGTTGCAGCTTTAATTCAACTTCCTGAACAGGTCTGTTCAACTTCACGCCTAGCACGGTTCTGACATACCACAGTAGGGAAAATATCCGCTTGTGAGAAGGTTGATCAGAAAGTTAGCTTCCACCCAACCTAGCCCAATGGCTGCACAACAACGCCATGCGCAATTTTAAAAAAGTGCCTGGACTGGTGAGGGGATGCAGAACCTCTCCGTTTTCCGATGTTTAAGATCAATGTGTGCGTATGTTCTTATGTCGAGGCCAAGGTGCACGGGGATGGTGTTTGTCGGGAACATGCGGGAAAATGGGCCAACCTCAAGCCTTAAAGAGGATCGTGCTTTGGTACCGAGAATTCTATGGATATATAGAACATGAAGTACGTCGTGCATAATGCATGAAGGCTCTCCTTATCATCCAGCTAGAAGTGTGCGATTCAACATTTTCGGTAGCTGAAGTCGTTGCTCTGAGGCCCTTTCTGCCGATGACCAAGGTAATCACAGATTAAAAAAATAGGCCAGTGATTAAAGGTTTTTTAAAATAAGACCATATTTAAGCATTTGAGTATGAGACAGCGTAAAAGCATGTCGACTTGCATTTATTCTCTTGAATTTTTTGCCGTACGCGTTTACTCTGGAAACGTCGGACCATAACATTTAAATTGTTCTCTAATTCAAAGGACACCGCACAGGAAACATTACGCTTTGAAAACAATACATAACGTAAGCGGCAATGAGATTTGCTGTATATTTCGAATAGTTAAAGTCACAAAAATTATACGAAGTGGGGAGAAAGTTGGTCGTCGATACTGCTTCCGATACTTTCAATGCGAAACTGTGTTCAAATCAATGTGAGTGTCACTCTCTACCAATTTGTGCTCGCACTATCACCTCATTTTGCGTACAGCATATGTCTGATACACATTTCATCGACTCGCTTTCTTATCTATTGTTTCAAGAGAGGAGAATTCAGACTTAAAATGGTGAGAATTTTCAACAACATTGCAGGAGGAGAATCAGAAATGCCACGCTCACCATTCTAATGAAATGCAAATACATCCTTAGTCCTTCCGCCTATTCTGCCTGTCTCGCCACTCAAACCAAAGCATACTTGCGCAGCAGGCTTTGTAGAGAACCCGTCGCCCGTTCTCGAGCGAGAAACTTAGTCAGGGTCTCAGCCAGACCGCTATTTTCGTGCACAGGAAAGCAGAACACTTCGCCCTGCGGTGTCGGTCGTAACTCCGGTAAGATTTCCCAGGACTCCATTATGGCCAATTCCTTCGGATGCTCCTGCACAATGGCCCGCCCAACGGCGGAGCCCCTCATTAATCCTTGGATTTCTCCCCGCAACAATGCGCGAATATCCGCCGCGTCGTCCACGGATTCTTCAAGTTGATGTTGTTTCCCCAAGGCACACAGGCGTCTTTTGGCGTCCTTGAAGCCTGTCGACCCGGGCACGCCGCGAACGACTCCTTCCATAGCTTGAGGGAAGCCCATCCCAGGCCTTGGAGGGCGTCGACGGTGATAAATCACCGTGCGGCTTACTTTGTAGTATGCCTCACTCCACGCTAGACCTGGATGAGTACGATTGGGGGCGACAGTGATACCTCCAATGCACACGTCGGCTTTTTGTTTCACGGGGTAGGTCCATAAGTTGTCGAAGTCTTGCACAGCGATGATCTCCGGCTCTAACCCGTATTCTTTACAAAACCGGAGGAGAAGTTCGACTTCCAATCCAGCAAAGTGTCCTTGTGTAGAGTCTGGATTATATTCATCTAGTTTCGCCTCAGATATGGTACCTGCAGGGCTCGGATGCCGGTCTCCCATGTTTTGAGATGTATCATAGCATATAGGGTAGAAATTCGGGAAGGCCGCTATTTTGAGTTTGCCCGGGGCCAGAAGCTTTAACATTCTCTTTGTTCTTTGCTGGATGTCCCGCCTTGGTGGTGTCGTTGCTTGAATGTTGGAGATGTCTTGAAGACGGAATTCGGTTGCCATGTTTGCTGTTATAAGCGCTGATCTGTTGAAAAAAGCTAGTATATATTAGTAAACATACTCTCATAGGTGACATGTTTACTTCTTCTCATAAAGCTCAGTACATAGGTACAATTTACATATTCTCTCACAATTTATATGCTGATAATAAGTCGGGTTACTTCGATCAACCCCGATATCGTGATGCTTATTGAGGGACAAGGCTTGGGGAGGGGAGGGATAACCCAAAAAAGCTATTCAAAGCCCACGTCTGTAAGCTCTGTGTGTGCCTTCATGTTGAGTTATAAGATAGACATATGTATGATAAGACGAATCAAAAATCATCATTGAAGAAGAGCATCAATCATGTGCGGGGCACATACAGCATTTTTTGTCTCAATGACGCCTGACATCTTTCTTTGCTAAAAATATTTAGAGGCGCAATTTCGGGTGCAAACAGGAGGAGCCAGTAGAGTGCAAGCATAATGTATAGTTTGAGTTGATCACACAAGGTATGTTTGGTATGAGTGCCTCACAGAATAAGGGAACGTTCTGATTGATAAGCAGTCGGAATTTTACCGTGTGATTATCACGCTGGTATGACCCATCCGCCGGCGAGTCATGTCAGCTTTTCGTGGGAAACCCAGTATAGTAAATTGAAACGATTTCAGCGTAACGTAGAACAATAGCTTGATTTAACAAAGAGTGCTTCGACTCTCTCAAAAATTCTGGTAGAAAATTCCAAAGGTGGCCATTCAGCCTTCCTAATTTTACTGAAAGCTCCAGGGGCGTAAGGTTGGAGTTTGTTTTTTTTTAAATTTTGAAAAGTTCAACCAGAAAATCAGACTTGGGTCTTCTATCAGAACAAGTTGCCCCGCTTCGCAAACGTACTTCTTTGGGTAGTGTTTTCAACCCTGTGGGCATGTATGATGAATGACATACAGAAGTTCAGACATCATTAACTATTCGTACAGAAGATTCCAATGTGAGTATCTTGAAGGAAGCTCCACACACTTCTTTCTGATGTTGCGACGGTACAATGGGCACATACGAGCATGAAAAGAACAAAAAAATTAGCAGGGTGCCTGATGTTGTTGAAATTTTCATCTTTCTACATAGTGGAGATACTTTCAAGTCACCATAACAAAGAGACGAGACGGACTGATGGTGTGCGTGCTTTCAGTGTGTCACAATGCTCCACTCCATTACTCCATGCAATTAAAACCCATTTCACACCCCATTTCCACCATTGGTCGAGGCCACATCCTTTACGAAAGCTCGATTGGAGGGCTCCAAAAACGACCCCCCAGTATCCGAATGGATCGTCTCGATCCTACCGGCTTGCCAGCCCACCACCGAAAAAACATATATGTGGAGAAGGAACAAGTACGCCAGGAGGGAGAGCCGCACCCAAGGAAACGTCCGAAGGTAATGCATGGAGGCAAGAAAAACTTTGTCCACGCCATCCGCAACGTCAGCGGCTGCGGGGTATGGTCTAAGGAAGGGGAGGCGTGAGAGGGGCTTGAGAGGGGCCAAAGCGACTCGGCGTCCGGCTGCGGCCGGAGGAAGGAGGGAGAACGAAGACGAGGACGAGGAAGACGGGTACGGCTTGTGAATCGCATTCACATGGCCCCGGCTCCGTACTGCACCGGGGCCTACATCATCTGGGGTCCAAGGGAACAAAGTAGAAAGCCGGGAAAGATTGGGTTGAGGTCCCCTATATCCCAATTGTCCCCTCACGGCCTCAGTCACTTCGCTTTCATCCCTCCCCTCCGTCTGCACGCCTGTACCCGCGTCCTCCACCTGCAGGCCCTTCTTCCTTACCTGCAGGACTCTCCACGTCATAATCCGCCGCCGCCAGTTGGGATTCCAGGGCTTTTACCCGCGCTTCCGAAGCCTTGAATCGGGCCTCTGCGGCGTAGACGTTGGAGAGAGCTGCGTCCAAAGCCTCCTGTTTCCTCACAAGTTGCTCCGAGAGCTGCCATGGGAAGAGAGAAAGGAGATTTCCATAAGAAAGGGCGGCCTTCCTAGGGTGGGGGCGCGGCGTTGAGTCGTGGAAAAACCGCCGGAGGGAGAAACAAAACACGGCACCGGGACTCGATGGCCGCGTCGAAAGAGATCATCTCCATCCCATCGGGTGGCGGGGTGGAGGCTTTTCCTCTCTTTGCCCCCGCGCGCTCTGGTCCTGGCACTGGGGTGCCCCACCCTCTGCCTCATTCCTGCGAATTTCCAAGGGCCCATCACGTGTTCTCGTCGCGTTCTCTCCCTCCTTCTCCCCCGTCCTCTCCGTGGCATAGTTCACACAAGGTGCCCAACCCCGCCGCGCCCCATCTGCCGCTGCCACACATGGCCTGCGCTAGGAGACCCCCCCGCCCCTTGGCTCATTCTGCACCCCCGACAACGTACCGCCTGGACCCGAACCTCCATCTCCTCCCTCACACGGCCCCCCTGTGCCCCTCCTTGGGCACCGGCCCTCTCCAGCTCCTCCCGCTTTTGCCTCTCCTCCGCCAGTGCCTGTGCCAGGCCTTCCCGTTCCCGCACACCTTTCTGCCAACGGCTCTCCTGCGCTTCCTTTTCCTCCCGC